TCCTTTTGATTTCATATTTCGTCTACTAATTTCCATGGTTCAGGAACATATACGACATCTTTATTTCAAAAAATTTTCTTTATAGTTCAAAAGTCTTTTTTTTTGGCAACCTAAAGAATTTATAGCTTAAAATTTGTTCAATCATTTTTTTAAAAATATGTCATGAGAGAGAATGTTTAGAATACTTAAATCTTTGTTCATATACGTAATAGCTACCTTATAACTGCTCTGAAATTCAATAATTTGATTGTGATAATACTTCTCAAGTAGTAAGGACTTGTCTTTAGGGGTTGTACATAAAGTATGTACGCTTTTTTTTGTCAACTACCTCCCACCACCATTGCACCTACCTCCCCACCCCGCATTTTGCAATACGCTTTTTTGAGTACCCTCCACCTCCCTAAAAGTACCTACGCTTTTAAACTATTTATATTTAATATTTTATGATATTTTTTTAAATTTATTGTCTTCTTTTTTTTTTATAATTGACCCACTGCCCTCCCATCTCATATACTCCATTTGCAGACCCTCTTTTCCCCTCCGAGCGTACGTACTTTATAGACGATTTTATTTTGATCTTTGAAGCATTCGCCTCAATACCTTTGTGCTTCTAATCTCTGTCATCATACAATCTAAAACTGTTATTGGAAGATCTGTTTACCTTTTTATGTTGAATAAGGTGCTGGCAAATAGTTCCCTCAGTAGTGCCTGTTTTGGATACAAATTAACGTGCATTGAAATATCACCTATTCAGAAAATAAACTTTTATTATTTAAAATTAAACTTACTTGATTACAGTGTTTTGCTTCCCTCATATAACAATTTATGTGGCCTGTGAAAGGAAGCCATATTTCACATACTTAATACTCATAAATAAGCAAACCAAAATAAATGCATTTTGAAACCCAGCCAAAATCCTTAAAATTTTTTCCATCATTTTATAGCCAACTAAAATACCTCCATAAAATAAAATACCTTCATGTGTGAAATTAACAGAATTCTAAATTAACCCTTATTTTTGCAATAAAAACATGCCAAACTAAAAATATCGTTTAATTACGGAAAAAATACACATCAAAAATAATGTTGTGTTAGTAGCTGAGATCACAAAAAATTTTTAGACAGGGTTTCTAAATCCTAAATTAATATGTTTAACAGATTTTGAGCTGAACAAAATAGTGAGCACTTGGCTGGTTGTATAGCAAAACACAATCAGCCGAGCGCTTGGCTTTAAAATAGCTTCATTTTACATAGCAAAACGGAAAGATAAGTATAAATAAAAAAAATCCTTAACATTTCCGCAAAAGAAATGATGTATGATATAAGATTAAGAAGTGGTAAAATGTTCCGGCAATTTAAAAGTAACTGCGACACCATATCCAAAATGATGTATAAATGCTAGCCTTTGATACTTTTTTTACTATATTTTTTATCATTTTTTTCCGTGAACTATCCTAATTTTAAAGTTTTACATTTTTTTTGTTTGGATACGGTGCGAACGCGGGCAATAGAGAGTTATGGTAATATGTATGAGATTCTCGTGATCGAAATGGGCTGTAACATAATAAAGTGTCCCTTTAAAAAAAAAACTTTTACAGTGAAATATTTATTGAGAAAATCTGAATGTAAAATCAAATAGATGAAATAAGGAATCTTTTTTTTATATTTTTTTTTAATAAAGTAATTCTACTGGTCAATTGGCACCCCTAAAATATAAATTTCTCATCGCAAAATTCTGTTTTTATTTTAAACGGAAGTAGAAAACTAAGTAACAGTAAACTATCGCTTACATACCTGCTTTACAAATTTGCACGCATTTATGGCAGAAAACAAAATGGAGACATTTTTTTTAAATAAAGAAGCTCTTATAATCATAATGTATACAGTCAATTTTAACATAGTTTGGTGTATCAAGACTACTGTGATTTTAACATAGTTTGGTGTATCAAGACTACTGTGATTTTAACATAGTTTGGTGTATCAAGACTACTGTGATTTTAACATAGTTTGGTGTATCAAGACTACTGTGACCTTCCATTGAGAGATATTCATAAAACTACAATGACTTTGCAAACGGTAAACGACTTTTTTTTGTTAAGGAAAAAAACAAAAAACTATGAATTTATAATATAAATTTCAACATTGTGGACGATTTTAGATTTGTTTTTATGTGTTAAAAATGTTTTAGGCAAAAACACGTATAGCACCTTCTCCCCACTTGAAACTTACTTGCGCCAGCCCTACTTTTAAAGATGTGTATACATCAATATATCCTGCAATGATGAATAAACTACTAGTGAAAGACGTACATTCATTCTTAATAGAGCAATAAATGGCATCATGTTTTTTTAACTTTTCTATACTCTATAAAATCAACTTGACTTCCTTTTACATCCGCTCATAATGAAAGTAGTTTCAGTAAATTAAAGACTATCAAAAATTATCTGCGATCAAGAATGACAAAACAATGTCTTTTTGGGTTGACATTAATTTTATTTGAATGTGAGCTTGCTGAGAGCATTGACTTTAACCAATAAATTATTTTGCTTCAACCCAACGGGTGCAGACACCCTTAAGACGTCTATACAATGTCTTATAGACGTCACAAGCCCGTATGATGTTCTTAAGACGTCCAAGAAACGTTCTGTACCCGCTGGAAATGAAATCTCGCGGAAAAAAACTTGTATAAATTAGCAGTAAAGTAAATTTCATTCTTAATGCTTGTTTTTAGTAATATGTATAGTGTAAATACATTTTTCCATAACCAAACAATTGCAATAAAGCTAAATGTTTTTTTTTTTTTATACCGATAATTGTAACCAAAGTAAACTTAGCAAACTTTAGTATCTTATATGTACTTAATAATAATGATAAAAGGCACCAAAAAGCATCGATATAAAATTTTTATCACAAACAATCCTCAAAAAAAAAAAAAAAAATTTCTAGGGGTTAATGTGCCACCCCCAAACTTTGTCGTTCCCTACTCGTTCGCCTGGCCCTCCACAACGCTAAACCTCAATCTGCTACTGGTTTAAGGGCTGAACATTGTATAATCTAATATAATTTTTATGTTTGAGGAAATAACTTGAGGAACTGTAGAAATCGTTCACATAAGGTTAACTTAGGTTAGCCAATATTGTAAAAGTTTAATCATTCGTTTACTAAAAAAGTTTAGTAAACGAATACATTTTACATACATAAAAGGTTTATAATGTAGATCAAAATCAACCGTCTATTTTTGTTCAATAATAAATCCGTTAAATAAAACAAATTATTGACCAATTCGGTGTGATTCTGTGTTTAATGGGTTGGATCCATCAAACCAACCACCATTGTAAACGTGCCTAATAACAGTTTATGCAAGGATGTATTATGCAAGGATGATGTTGATCAGTTTGAGCTGAGAGGCCAAGGTAAAACTTGATTGAGCAAGGTAAAACTTGATTGAGCAAGGTAAAACTTGATTGAGTTAAAGGAGTTGGAAAATAGCTTTCAGATTTTAATGGCTTTCTTTCACCATTTAAACTAGTATAATCATTATTACAATTAATCACATTACTTACAACTACGTCTAATACACTGCTCTATACATCAAAGAGAACAAAATCAGTTGTCATCTTCTTACTTTATTCTTCCCAACTTTTTGACTTGATGAGAACTATTTAATGAAGAAATTAATTACAGGTTTACTGGTAGCTTACCTTTCTATTTTAAATATAGGTTTGATTTGCGACTGCCACAAATTCAAGTTTGATAAGAACTTATATTTAAACTGAATCCAGGCTTGAAAAATGCTTTAATTAGTTGAGTAAATAAATTCTTTTTCTTCAAAGGTAGATATTTTTTGTCTCGATTGATACAACAGAAGCAGATTCATCTCATATTCTGAACGAAGTCTTGCTCTTTGCAGGCTCATATTGAAACAAAACATTTTTGCTTGGTATTTTCTATATTAAGTAATTTTAATGTTATAAATTAATAGTTTAATAAATTGTTTAATTTAAATAATTATCAAGCGTTTTTAAATTAAAATCGTTTGATAATTACCCTTACCACCCTCCCTCCTTCTCCTCTGGTTAAGGAAAATTAGTTTTTGAAAAATAAAATCTTTACCTTAAACACGCTTTTAATTTATAGTTAGATTTCAAACTACAACAAAATAAATTTTGGTGCTCAAAATATACAGCCATCTAAAGTTTAAATTCTTTTCATGTTTTTGAATACTTTACATTTTTAGAAAAAGGGTTAAAAATAAAAAAAATATGCGGTTTTTAATTTATTTTTAACGATTTCTATCTCATTTTGCTTTGTATTAAAATGTAGAGAAAATTTGTAACTAAATGTATTACAATTTATTATTGTTGCGTTGCAAGTTCGTTATAGTAATCTTTTGACCAATATTGCTTTGCTAGAAGTTTTGTTTAATTAGTTTTTTAAATATTAGTCTATAATTATACTTAGTAAGTTAAGTAAATACAAATATAATTGAGAAATTTGAATTTATAAACTCAGGTACCTTGCGGTCGCTGTCTTCCGCCAGTTCTAATTAATCAGTTCAATAAAAGATTGGTGAAACTCGTGATTTATTCGAAAAAGTTACAGCTTTTTATAAGTAATAACTTAAGTAATAATTTCTATGTGAAAATGTAAACAATTTTTTTTTTTTTAAATAGATAAATTCATGTTTGCTAAAAATAAACGTATAGCCTCCGTATGTCTAAACAGCTTGTTATAAAAAGAGTATTTCTAACAATATAACCTACAATAGATATATATATATATATATTTATACATAAGATATGAACGATAAACGTCCATAATATAACGGTAGATAAATGATAAAACGTGCAAAATTCGATATTAAACGTGCAAAAGTTAACATTAAAAATGGTTGAAATCAATGAGTCTATGACTGAACTGAGTAAATTATTTAAGCAATTACAAATATGGTTTACAATTTTAATTTATGGACTTTAAGAACTTAGCGCTCACTGTTTTCCACCAATAAACAAGATTGAAATTTCGGTGATTTATTTACTGTTTTTGTTTTATCACCGAACTACAGATAACGTTCCCCGATTAAACTTATTAGGGTTGATATTTCACTTGAGCGTCAAATTTCTATTTATTTTACTATCATTTAAAAGATTGATATTTAAAAAATTCAATTTAAGAATTTTCATGTTTAAATTGTCAATTTTGATAAGCTAATATTTATAAAATGTAGTTTTTTAATCTTTAAATAGAGTTTTAGTTAATTAGTAACTTCGTTATCTTTTAAAACTATTATCATAATAATTAAATTATCATGATAGTAGAGTTTTAATACTAAGCCTTTATTAACTTAGTATTATAATATATCTTAGTAATACTAAATTAATATAGTTACTATTAAGCATACATCTTACTATTTATTCTATTATTTATAAAATTCTCTATTATTTATAAAACTATTATCAATAAAATGTTCCATCATGTTGAAATTTAGTTGGGTAAAAACTTACTAATAAAAAAGATGGAGTTTGCTCTTCAAAATTTGGGAGACTTCCACGAAATGAGAGAGACTTGAAAAGTCTATTTTATGCTAGTACTAATTTAAATTGATATTTTATCAAAACTAGTTTTACAATAAATAAAAAATAAAAGCAATATGTTACATTACCAAAACATATTAAATGCAACTTATAATTTTTAATCAGAATAAATAATATATAATCCTCTTAAAATTGCTCAGCACATTCTACAGTTCTACATTTTTTAAGCACATATCTAATTTTAAAAAAAAACATGAGTTTTATTTGGAACTCATAAATATAAAATTGTTGGAGACTAACTCTATAAATTACAATTATGGTTTAAGAAACCTTTTGAGTTATTTAAGTGGTTTTAATGAAAGAAATACAATTATTCTTTTTCAAATTCATTATTTATATGTAAACCATAAAAACCAATATTTACCACTATAAAAGAATCAGGACTATCAGATGGCTTGTTTCTTGACTGGATTTTGTTATTTGTTATCAAAGAAAAATAATGTTTGGGTTCACTTTGCATATTTTTATAAATATATTTATAAAAACACTTATAAAAGAAACCTTGTGCAACCATGTTTTTTATTTATGTTTTAAAAACTTTAAAAAATAAATAAGTATATGCAGGGTTTCTTTAAAAACACTAAAACCAAGTTTTTTGCTGAACCTTAGAATTTTGCGATTAATAAATTGTAGACTCTTACACTGCGGTATCACTTTTGAGTTGCAGTGTTTTTCTTTTATCTACAAAAACAAATGGAAATTATCAACATTTAATTTAGATAAGGTTGATATTGTTATTTGTTGTAAAAATTACTATTGCTTTAGAAATGTACTGTTTAATAGATAATTATTTTTAGGAGGGTCAGAGTTACTATTAAGTTTTTAGGTACCAATCTTGGTTGAATGTTAATTATGTAACATTTAACATAATTTTTGTTTATAACTACTATATTAGTTTATAAAAATATAAATATTATATTAATTTATTCATTATGAAGAATTTTTAATTAATGGATTATCCAGGATTTACTAAGAATTTTAGCTTTTCAAGTTTTAGTATTGGTTTTATATCTTTGTTAAATAATTGTTGTAATAGTTTTTTTTAATGCTTTAATTATTATATATAATAAATCAGTGTTTTAATATAGTTTGATTTAATTTAAATTGTTAATAAGTATTATATTTGTATTCAATTTATTTGTAGTTGTGGTTAATCTTTATTATAATCATTAAATATTGACATGTATCTGTCACAGTTGCGACGTGCAGATTTGCCTGGAAGATGGGAGAAGGTCAATTTTTTGGTTATTTTTTCCTATTTACTTGTTATTTTTATAAAACAAGATTTTAATAGTCTTTATACTATAAATATCTTGTTTTATTGTATATAATACTATAAACTATAAATGCTATAAAACTTGTCTTAGCATACAATATAAAAATCTTGACGACACCTTTTCTTCATTAAAATAAAGTTGTTTAGTAAAAAGTTCAAGATTAAAATTTTAAAATTTATAACCTTTTTATATAAAAACATAGCAAAAAAAAATTATTGCTACAAAATGTCATTAAAAATGATGATGTCAAATCAAGTTTAAAAGTGTAATATAAGTAATAAGTAGTTGGTTTTTATTTAAATATTATTATTTAACTATCTGAAAAAGTTGAAATTATTGATAGGTCAGTTCATATATTTCAACCAATGGCATGTGGATAACCATCTTTGATTTTCCTAATTTTTACATATTATTATGCACGTTATGTAGATAAGTTAAATTTAAAATTTCTTCAGACTTTAAGTATAATCGTTTAGAAATTATAACCGCATAAACACAACACAGTGGCCCTCCTCAATTTACAAATGTATTAAAATAGATTACTTTAGAGCCTTATAAAATATTATCTAAAAATGCAAATTATAAACTTGTTATGTTCACATTGGTGAATAGCAATATTTAAAGTTTGACCCTATTTTTCAATTATCAATGGCAGAGCCGTGCTTTAACTTCTTTAACTTTGCTAAATTATAATACCTATGTATAATTTTACTAAAAAATTATACATAGGTATTATAAATCAATTTCCCTTTTGCTTGCAAATTCATCAATTATATCATAGCAATAAATTTTCCTGGCAGTCGCATTTTATATTGACAGTATAATTATAAAGATAATTTTCAAATAATTTTTGTTTTGAAATGATCACTCACAATATACAATGGTAATGTATATTGTTACACTTTTTCAATATATGATACATTTGGATATAATTCTTCCAATTTTTTTTCTAAAATAAACTCTAAATTCTATATCATAGTCTAATTATCTTCGTAAATTAATTAGTAAAATATATATTAAAATAGAAAGTTCATTTTTAAATTCCACCTCTTCAACATCATCTTCTAAGTGTTTGACCAGATTTGTACAACTAGTATTGAACTCATTTGCATTCATAGTTTTTAGCTTTTTTTTTATTGAAAAGAAAACTGAAAACCTCATTTAAAGAATTATACATATACTCATATTGTTCTTGCAATAAATTTTTTACTATATAAATTAGTTTATTAAAATAAGATTGTTAAAACTCATCATAAGATTGTTGCACTCATCATCAAATTCAGAAATGCGTTTATGTATATCAATATCATCACAGCATTTAATTGCTTTACTTTCTTTGTTTGTTAGTTTAATTTCTTTATTTGGTATATCATCAATATTATCATATTTCTCATTTGCTTTGTTTTTATGGTCTGTATAATATTAAAAGTTTGCCAATCTCTTGAGATTACATACTCTCTGTTTTGGTAAGGGTAAACTAGGCTCTGTTGATTTATCAAGACAATCTTTATTTCTACTCGTTAATATTTAAGTATCACAAAAAGACCATTCAGTGAACTGTGCTATAACATTAATTTCTTCTAATGATTCTCATGCTTTTTTTTTATAATCTGTTTATAATTGTTTTTAAAATCATCAAGCAATAATAACATAGCCCCTATGTTGTAATGCAAAATTAATTGCCCTCTCTATTGGAGTAAGTTGGTTTTTGGATAAGTTAATTTTAGTAATTAGTTTCTTTCTATTAAAAGTAGCAATCTGATTCATTTAAAAATAAATTTTGCTGTGTAAACTATACTTTGAAGCATCTGCAGCAGATGGAATTTGATTGGTTGCAAATATAATCAATTGTATCAAGATTTAACATAAGTATTCTCAAAAAGTATGCTTTTGTTTAAAGTGCTTTTGAATTTGAATATCAAAGCACGGCTTATAACATGATTGAAAATGTTCTGAAAATTTCTGAGATTGTTTTGTTCAAAACATAACTGCATTGTTTTACCAATTCAATCTAAAAGTAGCATCTCAAACTTTATTTTTCTTTTTTTTTTTTAATAATTTTTATTTTTAATGAAAACAGGCCAAAATAATCAAGTCAGGCTATGTTCTTATTTGTTTCTCCATTTTGTCTACTTTGTTAACATGTGACTATTATCTTACGCTTTCACATTGTGTTTATTAAAATATATATTTTACAGCACTAATCAGGGGCTATTCTAGGGAAAAAATTTGGGTGGCAGTACCCCTCATGTCATAGAGAATTTTGGCAGAAAATTGGCATTTTTTCACAAAAAAAACAATATTCATTGTATAAAACATAAAGTAAAAAAGGTCCTCAAATTTTGATTTGGGCGGCGCCTAAATTAGCGCCCAAAAACAGTCTAGAATAGCCCCTGCTAATATATTTTGATATATTATATACTTTGTGATAAAAAAATTTTAACATAGGAAGAGTTAGAAAAGCTGTTTAATCATTTTGAATTACAACGACCTGAACTAGAAAAGTTGATAACAGTTCTTCAGAAAGATATAGCTGATGGTTTATCAAAGACCAGTCATGATGTAGCAAGGTGCAAAATGTTGTTGACTTATGTTCAAGAAAAACCAAATGGGACAGAAAATGGTAACTTTTTTGCTCTTGACTTGGGTGGATCAAATTTCAGAGTATTACTTGTTCAAATTAATGATGGCATAATAAAAAAACTTCAAAGAACATATCCAGTGTCTAAAGATATTATGAATAGTTCACGGGATGCATTGTTTGGGTACATTGCAGAATGTTTAGCATCATTTGTTAAAGAAACACTAGGTGAAAATCATAAGCGTATTGAAGTTATAGGATTTACATTCTCTTTCCCTGTCAAGCAAACAAGTTTAACTAAAGGAACTCTTATAAAATGGACCAAAGGTTATAACATTAGTGGTGTTGTTGATCATGACATTATTCAGCTATTGTCAGAAGCAATTGAAAAGCGGCAGGTATAAAAACTTGAATATTATTAATTTTTATCTATTGATATATATTTATATATACAGACCTTGGCGGGAAGCGAGAGCTTTAGCTTGCCCACACTCCCATAAAACTTTTTACTGGAACAATTTACGGCTCCCATAAAAATATAATTTTTTTCTCAAAAGTGTAATTATCATTGTAACTGAAATAAAAGTCATTTTTATATTAAAAAAAAAATAGTTGCGTAATAAGCTGTAATGCTTTTTAAAAGGCATGGTTGTTGTCTTTTTTTTTAAAAAAAAAAAAAAAAAAAGAGCACCAATTTAAGTGCAAATGTTTTTGATTAGATTAGACTATTTAATAAATATAAAACTTAAATTTAAATAAAATTAAAAAATCTAAATTATATTGATAAAATGTTTATCTGATAAAAAATAAAATTATTACACTCTAAATTATTGCATAATATTTTTTACTTTATGTAATGAGTTATATATTTTATACTTTAATTACTTTAATATATTATTCACTTTTATTGTGGAATTTTTAATTGCTGTAAAAATTCTTAAAATGCCTGCATTCTATTACAAAGAAAATATAAAACATTTTTTATGAGCAGTAAAAACCTTTATAGCTTTTTATCAAATAGGTAATGTTCATAAATGAATAAATGGATAGCTAGTGTGAAAGACGAAGACAATACTTGTCTAAAGAATCTTTTTCAACACAATAAATGACACTTGTTATGCATATATTCTTGTAACATTAACATTATAAACATGCTTGTAACAAGTATAGAACCAAATTTTGTGTTTAATAAGCAATTTTTTTAATTAGATAAACAAATAGCTTGTGCAAAAACCAAATAATCTTGTAAGAAGCTATTTAGCGAAGCAGCTCACAATGCTCGCCATGTTCGTTTTAGGAGAGCTTTTTTTCACTTTTGCACTCGTTTACTCCCGTCGAGGCCTACATATATATATATATATATATATATATATATATACTATATATATATATATATATATATATATATATATATATATATATATATATATATATATATATATATATATATATATATATATATATATATATATATATATATATACTCATATAGTGTCGCTTTAAGAGCATTTTAATGTAAAAAAAGTCTCTTACGACTACAATTTTAATTACTCGTCTCTTAAGCTGTTTTTGATTGTCGTCGAAATGTCAAAGCAATTAATTTATGCGGAAGTACATTAAATTTAATTGTTTTTTAACAAATTTTTAAAAAACCGCAATTATAACGACTAGAAAGTTTTTTTTAATTAGTGGTGTTTTTGTTATTGATTTAATAAAAAACATTTTTTAAACATGCGTAAATGTTGCTACATCGACTATCTTATAGCTTGACTCGCAACGGAGTGCTGCTACATCGACTGACAAATAGCCTGACTCGCAACGGAGTGCTGCTACATCGACTGACAAATAGCCTGACTCGCAACAGAGTGCTGCTACATCGACTGACAAATAGCCTGACTCGCAAGAGAATGCTGCTACATCGACTGACAAATAGCCTGACTCGCAAGGGAGTGCTGCTACAACGACTGACAAATAGCCTGACTCGCAAGAGAGTGCTGCTACATCGACTGAGGGTTTGGTTTGGCCAGGCAGTCTATCAATTAAAAAAAAAAATTTAATTTTTAAAACTTTTTCTGGTCTGGTTTATTAACGCGCTCTTTAAAACTACAGTTTATGGGAAATATTTTTTGATGCTACGCAAGAGACATGCAAGACTATATATATATATATATATATATATATATATATATATATATATATATATATATAGGCCTCGACGATATATATATATATATATATATATATATATATATATATATATATATATATATATATATATATATATATATATATATATATATATATATATATATATGTATATAAATATATATATATATATATATATATATATATATATATATATATATATATATATATGTATATATATATATATATATATATATATATATATATACATATATATATACATAAATATATATATATATATATATTAATTTATAAATTAATGTATATATATATATATATATATATATATATATATATATATATATATATATATATATATATATATATATATATATGTATATATATATATATATCCTTATAGTGTAGTCGAAAGAGTCTTTTAATGTAAAAAAAAGTCTCTTTCGACTACAATTTTAATTACCTCGTCTCTTAAGCTGTATTTGATTGTCGTCAAAATGTCAAACCAATTAAATTAATGCGGAAGTACATTAAATTTTATTGTTTTTTAAAAAAATTTTAAGAAACTGCAATAATAACGACTAGAAAGTTTTTTTTAGTTAGTGGTGTTTTTGTTTTTGTTTTATTAAAAAACATTTTTAAAACATGCGTAAATGTTGCTGCATCGACTATCTTATAGCCTGCTGCTACAAGGGAGTGTTTCTACATCGACTATCTTATAGCCTGACTCGCAACGGAGTGCTGCTACATCGACTGACAAATAGCCTGACTCGCAAGGGAGTGCTGCTTCATCGACTGACAAATAGCCTGACTCGCAAGGGAGTGCTGCTACATCGACTTAGGGTTTGGTTTGGGCAGGCAGTCTATCATTTAAAAAAAAAAAAAATTTAAGTTTTTAAACTTTTTCTGGTCTGGTTTATTAACACGCTCTTTAAAACTACAGTTTATGGGAAACTCTTTCTGACTACCATGCAAGAGTATATATATATATATGTATATATATATATATATATATATATATATATATATATATATATATATATATATATATATATATATATATATATATATATATATATATATATATATATATATATATATATATATATATATATATATATATATACTCAGTTATATATACTCAGTTACTTGTGATAAAAAAAGTACTTGCATTTGTAGATATTATAATAGGGTTATTCCATATCAAATCACCTAGTTTTTTGAAAGTTCCCCAGGGTACCATCTCAGATTTGCTTTAAACTTTGACCGCACACAGATCTTATGAAAAAAATACAATCCAGAAAATTTCAGCTTGATTGACTAATAAGTTCAAAAGTTATGATTGAATTGAAAATGACCAAAATCCGAAAAATTGTATGTGTATCAGGAGCTTACAACAGTGTATCAGGAGCTTACAACAGTTTTTTTTGACTTTTGACAAGCCATAACTTTTTAAATAAAGATGGTGATCACCTGAAATTTTTTAGGGTAATAGTTTTTCACCCAAATGATCCATTATTGCAGTTGTTTTGTGACTGATTTACAGCTTTTAAGTTACTGTACCTTCAAGTTGCTAAATATTGCAACATAAATATTTTTTGAACTTTAACGTGCTACAGTTTAATACTTACTTACAGAAAGTGTGTTTTTTTGTTACCTTTGTGTACTTAGGGTCACTACTTGTTAGAATAATCAAAATTATGCATTAAAAACTAATTTAGCACATGTACCAGCCTATTAAAAAATCACTTTTTTTTTAAATTATGATAAATTACATCAACTTTGCTGGGATAGAAAGTAGCGTAAACAGTTGAAATAAATTATGAAACTTTTTAAAGTTGAGGCTCTATATATAGACCTATACTCTATCTTATGACATGATTGTAGCCTAAAAGTATGTGAAAATGAAATTTTTAAGTGTAAAATTATATATTTTTAAAAATCAGAGTTTGTTGCATTGATACTGTTTTATTTTTAACTTTTTTATGTATTTAATGCAAATTACTAAGACAATACCTTTTTTTATAGAGAATTGAATGAGACTAATTAGCTTATCTCTGATTTATATAACTTTTAATATTGTCATAGTCATTACTAGCAAGAATATAGTCACGAGCACTTATACTTTTAATCAATGGAACACTTAATTGACATATTATCTTGTCAAATAGAACCCAACACTGACTTGATCGTGCATCATTTGTCCATTTTAAATTTAATTTGTTTCTTTGCATAAACTTCACATCAACCACAAGCCCTATTTACCGTTCTTCATCCTAAAAGCATGCAATATATTTACTGCGTTGAAAATTTGAAGGATTTTTTAAAATCAAATTAACATTTAACACATGAGTATCATAGACAGTATCACTAGAGATTCTTCGTAAAAATAATTTCTCTTCATCTGGTACAAAACAGTGATAGCTTCTTGTTCCCGGAACTGTCTGCATCCCTTAATATCGTTTCTGAAGGTTAAAAGTTGTTTCATAGTTATTATTATCATCACTTGAAAGATAAAATATGTTAACACCTTTGATGGTTTTTTGAGCCCATGTAAACAGATCTTGTGGTGTGAAAGTCTGATTTGTAATTGCTGCTTGTAGACTAGCTTTTGCTGCTTCTCTTTTTATAGTACCTCCTATTCCATCACATGGACTTTTGCCATGTGACGTAGCAAAGAAGTGATGCTCAGCATTTATTTGGTGATCTATAATGTGATAAATTAAGTTTATTTAGACATTTGTAGTTTTTATACTGTGGGTAGTTTGATTTTGACCATAGGGAGCAACTTTGTGAGAAAATAATGGACTGCTGATTAGTCATGACAAAGATGGTCAGAAATTAAATAATAGCATTCACATTTAAGGTGATCTTTTTCATCTTTGTAATAAACAGCAAATGGGTGTAAGGTAGCTTGATCGGCTTGCCAGTAAAACCCTTGTATAGCATCTTGTACAAGAAAACTATAGTCCTCTGCAAAATCCATCAGAATAATGCAGGTATATTGGTCTAATGTTTATTTTGCTCCTGATAAGTAGGAAGACTGTGCTTCTTTGATAAAGCGGTGGTGACAAAGGTCATACAAAATTTCATTTAAAGTTTCAATAAATTCACAAATGCTTGTTTGGTCTGTAATAAGTGAGGTCAGTCAGTTGACACCCATTGTTTATATGTGATCTGATCATCAAAATCAAAATCATTCTTTTCAAACACATTTTCCAAATAAGTCTTCAAA